AACAGATCGACTCACCCATCTTTCGGGACTAGCAATTCTTCGAGAGGATCTGCCTCCCGGAGTTCGCAGGCGCCGTGTTCACGCCGGGCTACACCACGGCTACCCAGCTGCGCCCAGAGTGGCGCATCCTCAACAAGCTGTTGGGGAAATCTTACACCCCCAGCGATGGCTCCACCAGTCATCTTCAGCTCCGCACCCTGCACTGCCTGCACTCCATCAGCCAGGAGGAAGACAACCTCCATCTGTCCTCTCTCATCGCTAGGACTGTCGCCAAGGCTTCTCGGTGTGGTCGAGCTCTGGCGTGTGGGCCGGTGGTCACTGCCCTGGCACGGTACTTCAACATCGACCTCTCCGGGTTCACTCTCATACTACCACCGACGCCCTTCTCAAGGGACACCCTACGGCGCCAGCTGATACTGCAGTGCGACGGGGACGTGACCTGGATCCAGGGACTTCCTCGCCCTTTTTCTCGTGCACCAGAGGGTGAGGACCTCCCCAAGGCGGGTGATGCTGCAGCCCGTCAGACGAATCGTCGGACCACTCCTTCTGCGCCTGGCGCCTCCACCTCCGCTGCCGGCCCGTCTGCTGCTGCGCCCACCACTTACATTGCTGATCAGCTGGCAGCCATTTCCCGCCAGAATGAGCAGATCCTTGCTGGCCAGGAGCACATCAACGCCCGACTCGACCGTGAGCGCGGAGGTCGCCGCCGCATAATTTCGGCTCAGCATTACATGATGAGCTACTGGGACATGGACCCTGCTGTTGTTAGCTACCCTTGGGAGGCGTCCGCGGGGCATGAGGATTACTATCCGCCTCCAGCTGGCGACAGAGGCGATGAGTACTGAGCTGTCTCTGCTTGCTGCCCATCGAGTTGGGCTCTGCTTTTGTCTTTCTTTCCAGACTTCGACTCCATATTGTGTTTGTTTCTTTTTCTTGTCCTGGTTGTGTGGATTGTAGACTTGGAACTATGATTTCTTTCACCTAATGTGTGTGTGTTTTGTTGCCTCTAGCTCTGTGCCCGTTGGACTGGTCCTTGTCCAGTCCTCTGCTATTGACTGGTCCGCCGTCCAGTCAACGTTCCTGACCACTGTTTCACGGTAACATCGTTCCCCTTCCCTCTGCTCCATTGAGGACACTGTCGCATTTAAGTGTGGGGGGGGGGGTTCTTTGTATTCATTGGAACGTATAAATGTGTGCTTGGAGCCTAGTCCACTGTCCAAATCTCGAGATTTGAGGGCTCCAAGCACTGCTGTTTGCTTGATCATATTGGCACTGTGGTTTTAATTGGTGAATTGAATGGCTTTCGACTCAATGCATGACAGCTTGAATATGACTAGGACAACCTATAATGATGACTGAGTTGTGTAGTAGAATTGTGTAGGGGTTCGCTCTTTCAACTGTTTGCTTACCAACTGTGACTTGGATTGATCACTTGTTCTTGACAGTCGTTTATGCACCTAGTTTATGGAATCAGAATGAGAGATAGAGCATATAGGTAGCATGTGAGATTTGAGCCTGCTCGTTTCTTTCTTGTGCGATAGATCCCTCTTCCATAATGTGCAGCATTCAAGTTGTCATTAGCTAAGATGATGGAGGCATAGGATTAGCCCACGACCAAATTGACTGTCCTGGTGTGTCATACCCCCTAGTCAGCCCCTTTGAGCCGTGTGTTATCCTTTCTTTCGGTCTACAATGGAAAAAAAATCACCCTTTTGCATCTCCTAGAAGGTTCCGCAGAGTGGTTTTGGCATGTTTTCTGCTGCTTCTGCTAAATATAATGTGAGGGTTGGAGGTAGTGCTTAAAAATGGGGCATGTGTTTGAAAAATGTGCAGAGGTGGTGGTTCTCTTAAGAAATGAAAAAAATTGAATGAGAAAAACAAATAAAAAAGGAAAGCAATAGAGAGCCACTACCAAAATTTTGAATAGTGCCCATTAAGTAGTGTTTCTTAGCAGTCTGGCTTGGAAATGCTGACATTTATATAACCTCCTTCGCTCTTGTGCTCTAGAAAATTTGAGTAATGCAGAATTGCAGAAAGGAAATACTGGTTTGATAGGTTGTGATTGTGTTGGATTGGGAACTGTGGAACCTTGTGCTATGAATATTTCCTCCACCTAAAAGGCCTTTTCCCCATGTCCAAGACCCTAACCAGTCATTTGAACCTGTGTCTAAGACCTTCGGATTAGTTAGTGGTGACACCCTATATGTGAACTCTAACAGTTAGAGACTGCCTTCATGGTGAAGAGATGTTAGGGATTGAGAGAATAAGCATGCGCATTTTTCGCATCAAATTGTCCTGACCCCACTGGTCGAGAGTGAGCGATTCATTTTCTCATATTATCTATACTCTTTACCCCGGTGAGGACCTATATTGCTCGGTCTCGATTCTGATATCTTGAGTTTTGTGCATGAGGTGACTGTCTTGAGTAAGTGGATGAGTCAAGTCTAGGTTGGTTGGTGAACAGAAGGGAGACACCTCCTTTACTCGATTCTGCTGCACTCGAATGTCCTCTATGGTGGTTGTCCAGGTTGCGGTTGAAGTTGTTCATGTGTTGATGTTTGAAAGCCGGTGTGATTCCCATGTTTCGTGCATATGTGATATGTCCCCGAGGGGTTCATGATTGAGATTTTTTGAGCTTACCTTGTATATGACTTGGTTTGCTTGGGGACAAGCAAACGGTTCAGTGTGGGGGAATTTGATAGCATCGTATTTGCACATGTTTTCACTCCTCTTTCCTGACCATTTTAGCTCGAATTGATTGTTCCTTGGCCTATTTTACGCTAGGTTGTGTTATTTTGTCGTATTTCAGGTCCTAGCAAGTAAAGAGGTGCATAGGCGCAAGTTTCGGGCCATTTGGAGGTCAGCTGGCGATTCACAGAGCAAATTACGGGCAGCCCCTGCCAAATTACGGGCGTAATTGGTCCAGGCATGCCCGTAAAAGCAATGCCGAGCCTAATTTCCCCAGAATTCCTCTCGGTAGTGGAATTACGGACAAGTGTCCCACAAATTACGACCGTAATTAAGTAACTACTCACGGTAATTGGGAAATTACGGGCGTAATTCCACCCCCATCAGAGTAAAGTGAAACGCGCGTTTTGGGCGATTTACGGGCAGACCGTGATTACGACCGTAATTCTCCCAGAATCGGGTTTTTAGGCAGATTTGAGCCAAAGGAGAAGGGGATTCGAGTTTTAGAGAGACAGAGCGATTCCTAGAGAGAGAAAGCGACGAACAAGAGTTCCCGAGTGCTCTAGCTTGATCTCATCACCATTGGAGCCCGGCTTGAGCTTGGAGAAGTGCTTATTGACAACCAGGAGCAGATACTCATCCTTCACAGTATGATTTCCGCGTCTGAATCTGCTTTTGCTTCTCTTTCCATGGAGTAGTTCTCCCATTCATATGGGTATGGAGAACCCTAGATTTGTATGTTAGGTCTGATTGTATGAACCCGAGTACAGATTTCATGAGTTGATTATATTCGATTGAGGCTTGAATGACTTGAATCCTGATCAAATTCCTGTTGTTTCTGCTTTAACCTAGAATGAGAATATCTGCCTAGGTTGATAGAGCACCCTTAATTGAAGGTGGCGAATTGGTGACTTTAGTCGAGGAGCCAATTCGCTATTCTGTACCGAATTCAATTCGGTAGCGGAGGTTTGGTTCGTTAGGGCCTCAATCTGTTTACTCCGGTGGAGGTTAGTCGCCCGCTGGAGACTCAGATTGAGAGGGTCTGGAGACCTTTAGTCGAGACTTCAGACTGTTTAAGAACCTTCCGCAGTATAACATTCATGGAAACTGAACTTGGTGAATTGCAATCCGGCTTAACTGCAGTCTAGGGGGAACCATATCCGGGTGACCTCTCTCGACTTGAAAACAACCGTTTAACTTGCTTTGTTTGTTTGTTAATTTGGACTTGCACTAAAGTTTTACCGCTAGATAATAAGAATTCACTGAGTAGTCATCAAATCTAGGACCCGGGTTGACATTAAAACCCAAACCCGCTATGCTACGCTTTAGGAAGTGGTTACACTTGGTCATTTTCTAGAGTGACGGTAGGAGTGAGTCAGTGCTATTATTGGAAAAATCTAAAAAGTGGATGAGCATCAACGTACAACAAGATATTTGGAAAGATAAATCAATGAAAACATTATCAAATCACCGGGAAAATAAAGGTATGCCGCAAAACCTTGATGCTAATGGTTGGCCTCTGGTTTCTCCAATAGCATTGTTTCTAAAGAGCCTTAAAGAGAATCATCAGACACCTTAATTAATTTATTGTGTTTTGAAATCTCATCATCAAGATCATCCACATATATAATTTCTGCGACGTCCTTCGAGTTCGTCTTGGTGGTCGGCGTTGATTTAGCCTGTAGGGCGGCGAGGGAGTACCTCCGACTCATCAATGTAGAGACTAGCCTCCAGAGTTGGTGAGTAATTTGGAGATCCGGCTCGATAAAAAGCAAAGCAAAGGAAACAGTACTTTATCTCATCTATTGACTGTAGACCTTTCATTTATAGTTGGTCGATTTCCTACCCATTAAGACCCTACTGACCGAGTTTGAGCAGATTCATCTTCATTCAGCGCATACAAAATTCAATTGATTCAAGTGCTGGTTCTGACGCGTGGTAGTCACATAGGCGGAATGCCGATATGTTGAACCAAGTTCAACTAGTTTCCGACATAAAAATAGCTTGATTGACCTTAAATTGATTTATGACCTCTAGCTAAATTGATGTTGTTTTACTGAATTTAAATAATGAAAAAATAATTTATTATTTATGTGGAGAATTTAAAAGCTAAATCTTAATGTTATTTATTTGATTCAAGTATCATTATTGACCTTAAATGTTGTATTTATTTTATTTGGAATGACATGTTTTATGTTAATATGAATATGGATTGTAAGTAAATTATCTTCAAGTATGTTATATATATGATTAAATTCATTTGATGTTAATAAATTTCACATTTCTATATATTTTGTTAAAACGGTATGAAGCGACACAGATCAATTGCACCATAATCATTCTACTTGCTAAACCGACTTGACAACTTTGTTTGACGGGGAAAAACTCGGCACACATCTTAAAAACGAATTTTCTTTAATCATTCGCCATTTCTTTTCTCTGTGAAAGGAGAGGGGAATCTTTGGTTTTATTTTGTTGGCATTTTGCTACGAGAAAAGAGAAAGAATAATTTCTACTTCTTTTCAATCGTATCCATTAATTTTCCCCTCCTCCACCTGTTTGAATTCTGCATTACCGTTCCTCGCAAAACCCAAAAGAAAGAACACAAACAATTCTGCATTTTGCAATAACTTTGGTCGTCGAGCGGGTTCTTGGTTGCCGAATTCCTTAAGATGCTCACGTGCTTTTTGACAATATGTGCATGTCAAGTTTATACCCTTCGCCCTCATCTTGTTTCTCGTGTTCTAGGGTGTTACTACACTTCTGATGCGAAGGGAAGCTGCTGAAGGCGATCTTAATTCCGGGTAATGAGAGTTGCAACATTTTCCCTCCTATGATTGTCATTGCTTTTCATGTGCATCTCTGTTTAATCTAGATTGGCATGATTGCTTCTAGCAGGAGGAGCTAAAAAATGGATGTTCTGAGACCAGATCAAAATTTGTTTTCCCCTCTCTCTAGTGCTTCAAAATTCTTTTGAAGGGTCAACATGTCTTCACGAGCCTACAGCTCTGATGGTCAAGCTCCTGTTGAACCAGGTCAGCCTTCATGCAGACAAACAAAATCATCTTCATTTTTGTTTTTCTTACCCTTCTCCCTCATGAGTCCCGATGTTTGTTTGAGATTGTTATGTTGATGAAATGAAGGACTATTAGATTCCTTTCCACCTCAGAAGAGTACTTTTAGCCCCTAGATGTGTAAGCATCTTGAGTGTCTGGTTGCTTCCTTGATGTTCTCATGAGGGTAAGAAAATTATTTGTCATTGTTTGCCAAATGTGTTCAACAGAGCAAAATGTTTACCAAATGTGTTTGGATCTCCATTCATTGATCGAGTAATATAACTTTTTGTCATTGTTGACACTAAAACTATTTGGGCCTTGTAAAAGATGGTTCATAAGCATTGTGTACGCATTGCAAAACAAAACAAAAGAAAAATGAATGCTTGCAGGGTTGTCTTGTGTTGTAGGTTTGGACTTTTCTATCATTATATAAGAAGCAGAAAATAAATTGGCTTCGTCAGAATATCTTATTGAAAGGAAGCGGTTGTTTTTAAACTTACGCACCAGAATACAGACCAATCATGATCTCTTGTTGATGTCTAAATGGAATCCATTGTTTAATTAGCCAGATAAAACTCCAGCCTCAGTATTGAAGCCCCCGTCTTTTTTTAAAGGAAAGTGTAATTCTTGTGCAACCGAGCAAGATAAATTATGCCGAACTAGTTTTAAGAATATATTAGTAGCATGAAAAGCATATTATTTTGATTCTCGCAATCCTAACTAACAGAACATTGGTAAATCATGTGTTTTGCTCTACTTGTTGCTTCTGCATTTACTTATGCAGAATCTATTAACTTCCGACATTGTCTTAAATTAATTTATTAGTTGCACCGAATTTCCATAGGATCTCCTCCTCCTGGCCTAGATTTGCTGCCTCACAATTGCTTACAGAAAGTTTACCACTACCCCCACCTAACAAGGAAGCTTTATTGGAGCCAAACCACCAGCTACCACATGATATCCTAGAACCATCTCTTAACCTACAACCGTCATCAACTAGTTGGCAAGAGACACCAATTCAACAGCCCTCATCGAATAGCATAGAACGGTTTGTTGGTTATCGGCAATTTGCACCGGCAGCCTAAAACTGCTAATAGTTAGTGATGTGCTGCAATCAAATTTTCAGAAGCTATCCCTCTGTAGTCCACAAGACCACAACCATTTGATAGTCATCAATCACTATCTGATACCCATCATCAATTGTCATCTACAAGCCAAGAACATCTAAGTGATGGGTTATATGCGTCAACTAGCCATCAACCATCAACTGGTGTCCATTTTCCACCAACTAGCTTGGAACATCCAACCACACATCAGCAAGCATTGAACAACCATAAAAAAAACCATCAGTTACCTTTCAACTCCCACCTGGTTGCCTAGACACATTGGAAGAACCATTGGCGGGCAAACAATTGCCGACAACTAGCAGACCCCCTGTCCATGGCCAACAATCATTAGCTAGATACCAATCATCAGTTACTCACCTCAAACTTCCAGAACAAACTCAGGTGTGTGTGTCAGCTAGACATGAACCATCAACAAGCCGACAAACTTCAGGTAGTCAACAACCACCATCTGATTGCTCACAATCCTCAATTAACCATCAAACGCCTTTCAGTCCCAGCTACCCAACAACATCCACAGACTAGTCGACGAATTGTGGTGAGTCAACAACCAACTTCAAGTAGCCAGTAATCAACAACCCATCAACTGTTATCAACTATACCACAAATAACACTAGGAGACTTAACTTTAACATCGTGTATGCCACAAGCATTGCCTAGTAAACTACAATTTCCAACTAGTATCCTACAACTACAACCAAAGAACTTAAAACCTTCACCAGTCGGACTACAGTTTCCACCCACAACCAGCTTTGCACTTAAAAGTTCAACAGCTTAGTCTCCAACCACCACCATGCAGCCGGCAACTGCCATCTAGCCAACAATTACAACTGCAACAACAACCACAACCAGCTAGCCCACAAGCACAAACTTGCCTTCATAATCTGTTACATGTATAGGTGCACACCAAGATAAAAAAGTATCGTCGAAATGCTTCTGATACCAAACTCGTTAAAGAATATGATGTATAAAGACTGAAAGATAACACTATTACCTAACTACTTTAGTTGATTATTTCTTCAAGTTGCTTTGCTGATTTTTCTTCAATAATCAGGTCCACGGAAAAGGTTGGAGAAACTGCTGAGTCAATCATGCAACAAGCACTGTGCAGATTGTGGATCTACAGATCCAAAATGGGTGTAAGTAGCAAAGAACTGAACACGAATTGAACTTGTTTTTATCTGGACTTCCTTTCTTAAACTGAAAGTTTCTCTACCTGCCAGATCTATAAGTCATGGAGTGTTTATTTGTATAAAGTGTTCTGGTGTCCATCGAAGCCTTGGAGTACATATATCAAAGGTGTGGATCCCATAATCTTTATTTCATCTTTTTAACATAGCGAATCCAAAACAACGATGTATTTCAAAGAACATTCTTTTGGTTGATTTGAGCAACTTGCAGTGGGATCTACGAAAACTATAGTATAGATAATCAAATTCATGGTCGAACTTCTTAGGTGGTTTGATGAATAATAAATGATTCCCGAACCTGCTTGTTTACTGAACTGGTCATGCTAGGTTTTATCAGTCAAGCTAGATGAATGGACAGATGATCAGGTCACTGCTTTCATGGAGATGGGCGGGAATATAGTTGTAAACAAGAAATTGGAAGCTTGTATGACAGAAGATTATAAAAAACCAAAATCAGATGCGCCTATAGAGGAGAGAGCGGAATTCATTAGGCAAGTAGTGTCTATTTTACTAAAATATTAAGATCTTAAAATATTAAGATGCGTTGGATATTAAATTATTTACTTATTGTTTGTTTGTTTCAGGAGAAAATATGAGATGCTAGAGTTTACAGACTTCAATGAAAATATGACATGCCCCTATAATCCCAATATAAACTCACATGGCCATGGATCTTCTCAAGACAAGACACATTATGAGAAACAAACAACCAGACATCGAATCGGGAGTGCATTGAGAAATAGTTGGGGAAGAAAAGATGCAGAGCAGAAGCAAAGCAAGAAAAACATTTGTTTGGTAATCCTTTCCTTTAAAGTGTTATTTTGAACTCATGTTGTCTTTGTCTCCTACATACAAATCCTGATCCATATTGATATCATTTAATAAAATTTTTTGGATTTAAGAGTTCCGATTTCTAGAATTGATTTGTTAATAGGTTAGCAAAGTCTCTTGCACAACCAGAATCGTATGCTCAAGGTTTCAATTACATTGACTGAAATTTTTCTCTTATTTTCCTTGTTTTTTTCTAAACATATTACATCAACAGGCAGGAATGGTCGAATTTATTGGCTTGATTAAGGTGAATGTAGTAAAAGGAACCAATCTTGCAATCCGGGATATGGTGACAAGTGACCCTTACGTCATCCTTGCATTAGGTCATCAAGTGAGTGTTGTCCTTCTGCCTCCCTTGACCTCGATATTAACTTTTGCAATTGATTACCCAAATATCATGTTGTTGTAGTCAGTGAGAACTCGAGTCATAAAGAACAACCTCAATCCTGTGTGGAATGAAAGCCTTATGTTGTCAATCCCAGATCACGTCCCTCTCCTTAAAGTGGTGAGCTTGATTATGTTTATCTTGACATCTTCATTGCCTCGCCCTTTCAGAAATCAACCCTTACAAAGATGCCTTATCCGCAATAGGACAATGTTTATCTTTGCAGCTTGTTTACGATAAGGACACCTTCTCCACAGATGATTTTATGGGGGAAGCAGAAATTGATATTCAACCTCTTGTTTCTGCTGCAAGGGCGTACGAGACATCATCGATAAACGAGTCGACACAACTAGGAAAATGGGTGGCAAGCAGAGACAACACACTGGTCAAAGATGGTGTCATCTCCTTAATAGATGGTAAAGTTAAGCAAGAAATCAGTTTGAGGCTGCAAAATGTTGAGAGGGGAGTGCTTGAGATTGAGCTTGAATGTGTCCCTCTGACTCAATAATAACATTACTATTATTATTATCAGTATGAACCCATTATTTGAGAGAGGAATATCAAATACACCCCAAGGGGGAAATAAAGAGGTTATCTATCTTATCATTCAAGATAGAGGGATTGGTTTGATTCATGATAGAGGGGTTGAAAAGATCCAAGCTTCCGACATTCTCTAACTCTCTTGCGAAGGAGTTTGGTTTTATTCATGATAAAGGGATTGAAAAGATCCAAGCTTTTGTGTGAATCTTTTGTAAATTTCATCTTTTTTCCTTCAATGTTTCGTTTTTCCGTCCAACGATTATGCTTTCGAAAGGAAGAAAATCTCAAAGTTACGAAGAAAATTATGATACCTAGAACATTACTTTTCTTGGCTGCTGAATTGTAAAGATATGTGAATATGTACTTATGTTGTCTAAATTAACCAGAAACTTTGTTTTGAACCATCGTCTATATTAAAGAGCTTTAACGACAAGTTGTTTGTTTATATCATACTAGATGACTAACCTGCATTCTATGGCAGGTAGCAATAATACCTAGATTAAATAAGATTTTATATTACGGTTCAATTTACATTTTCAAAATTAGTATCTTTTATTTTAATTTTATAAAATTATTATATAAAAAATACTACTTTTTCTTCGTTGATGAATTTGAGTTTTTGTGAATGGCTTACTATTTGTACATTATTTGATGCATTGTCACTAATTTCTTTAGAATAAATAGTTTTATGTGTAACAAAGAAAAATCCATAAAAATGCTCATAAAAAATCATCAAAATGTGCCCATTGTAACTTCTTATAATCTAAGTGTAACATAATTATTCAAGTTTTTTATTTTAAAATAATTTATCATCACAAATATGTGCAATTTTTTATATTTCACCATTATAATATTATATACACTTAAACTTTATAATTATTTTATCCAATGAGAGGTCTATAATGGCTATATATCAAAAAGATTATAATATCTGAAGACTAAGTGCTAACCACTTCACTTGCATGCTTATAGTATAAGATCATGACATTGAACTGTATTTGTTAGTCTTAGCAACCAATTCCTCCATCACACAAATTTTGTTGTTTCTTGTAGTGAAACAAATTAATAATTGTATTTTCGTTTTCCAGAATTAAACAATCAACTGAGGTGGGTGCATGTCCGTGCAAGTAATTAATTAATTATTAATTTAATTAATTAATAGCGCAAGTGTGATGCACTATTCCTCACGAAAAAATCTCTGCAGGTATACTGTTCATTAGGCTATAATTAGCTGTGGCCGTAACCACGCAAATTTAAGGAGACAAGCGAAGTCTCCTTTTCTTCTCCCTGCAGCACTTTTATAACCACTATGTATTATCATAACCATCAAGTGAAGCCAAGAGAAGGGTTTTTTTAAGTGCCAAGCAAAGTTTATAGAGGCAAAAATATTCTGTGAGATTCCCAATTCCTTAGGGCTTTTTAGAGCTAATGAAATGTAATTACTAAAACACTACGTTAATTATATAGTAGGACTTACAAAATCATATCGTATTGGCGATATAATTTTAAAATCCTTGATTTATATAAAGATAGATATTTTTTATGTAACAATTAAAACGTTAATTATATAGTAGGACTTACAAAATCGTATCGTATTGGCAATATAATTTTAAAATCCTTGATTTATATAAGGATAGATATTTTTTATGTAACAATTAAATAAATTTATTATGTATATCAGCCTAATATAAGTTTGAATGTACCAGATTTCGTTATTATTAACGAAAATAGTTATGAAAATACTATGTAAGGTCAATTAGCTTTTATATAACAGTTTGATATCATGTGATGGTATTTGTAACTTGATTCTATAATTAGACCACACATTCGGAAGATTTATGGTACGTCATTCTATAATAGTTATGTAAAACATATAGAGTATAATTTATATAACTTAATTTGTTTACTATTAACTAAAATATTCAAAATTTCATCACTCTCATTACTCAAAGATTTTGCAAGGTAAGTTAAGTTTTACATAACACTTTCAAAAATATGTGATACTTCTATAAGTGGATTTTATTATTAGACCACAATTTGCGTTTATTTACACTGCCATATAGCAATTATGCAAATTAAAAATATTTTATGAAAAACTTATGGAACTATAGTTACTTCTTAAATATAAATTAAACAAACGTAATACGTAAGTAAATTATGATATAAATTTGAACATAAATTTCTTTATTAATTACTAAGTGGTTGATCATCTCACCAATTTACATTACACGAAAATTATGTATGTTATTTTTTACATTATATTTTAATCAAATATGATATTTTTTTATCTTAATTACTATATTACTAACTAAATTTCCTTCGTTATTAATAAAATATTCACCATGTATCAATTTGCTTTACACAAATGTTTTTAAAGGTGAATTAACTAATACACAACAGTTTAATAAAATGTGATACTAACTTAATTTTATTATTAGTCCACACATTACAGAAGTTGTACGTAACACTGTTCTATAACCTTTATGAAAGTTACAAACGTATTGTGTAAAACTTATGGAGGAATGTTTATTTGTTGTGCATCGATTAAACAAACTTATTAAGTAAGTCTTTCATAATGATCAAGACACTACGTAATGCTTATTAAGTAATAAAAAATTTCCTCATGCATCAACTAAACAAATGTATTACGTAAGTAAGTTTTTTTGTAGTGATTAAGACAATAAGAAAAACTTATTGAGAAATAGTTATTTCTCATATCAATTAAAACAAATATATGATCCCATGGTAGGAAATGCGTCCCAATTCCTTACCGCATATTACCCGGCGTCACTTCGTCCCCTTTACCCCAACTAATACCATGATGCAAGTATTTCGTAATGATTAAGACCATTATGTAAAACTCATGAAAGTATCTAACATGAACGATTTTGTGAATTATTTGATTTCAATTAAATTATTAAATAAATGAATAAAATTTAAAATATAATTAGTTATTTATCGCTGCGGAGCGCGAGCCAAAAAACTAGTTTTATTTTATAGCGGAAATTATCATGTGATCTATTCCTACTCCCGTATGATGAAATAGTTTGCTAAGCGAGGCAAGTTACCGTTCGGATACTTGAAAAAAAAATATTTGGAGAAGGACTTCTTCCGAATTAAATCATTTAAAAAATTATTATCTTTGAAGCATATCTCAAGTTGCAGTTGATCTTCAAAGTGGTGTGCTTCTCCAGTATTCTTAATCCTCGCCTGACCAAAGAAGTAATGTGCCTATATGTGAAGCATAACGAAAAAAAGATTTGGTCTATTTGGTCTACGATTTCTAGAGCACATACTGGTAAAATTTTCTTCAATCTCCAATTATTGAACTTACCTCCACCTAATCCTCACTCAAAAGAATTTTTTGCAAAACTAACAGGTAGAGTGAAGAAAGACGAAGGTGAAGGAAGTTGCTAGCCTGCAAGCCAATGAGAAGGAACATCGAGAGGAAACCCAATTAGTCTCTAGGGTGTCATCTCCGTTCGGAGCTTCAATTCTTCCCCTCTTCGATGATTTTTTCGGCGACTGAGACCCTGTTGAGATACTTTTTTGACTTAGCTTGGCTAGTCACCAAGCAAATTGTCGATGGGGAAGAAACTGGTGTAGAAACTATGGAATAAAAAAAAGGAAGAAACAGTTGTAGACACAACAAAATGAAATAAAATGATGGTACGATGAAATATAAAAGAATATTGGGCAGTCACCAACCAAATCATCGAAGGGGGAAGAAACATGTGTAAAAAACTAAAAATGACGAAATTGAAAAAAGAACAAAAATGTTTTTGAAAAGAAAATTGCATGGCTTGTGAAATCGTACTAGAAGTTACCTAACTCGTCTGTTGTAGGGTATTTTGTGGTACTACCGTTTTTTCAATGTTTCATACCTACAAAATACAATTTTCGGAATAAAAAAATACTTTTTGTATAAAAAAACCAAAACCAGCAAAATCAGGACACATTTATGGAGTAATACCAAAAGTGCAACATTACAATTTAACTCGTTCCTGCTGGCACTACTATCCCAACTGTGGCCAAGTGTAACCACGATCAAGTGCAGTATATTGGAAGTGAAGTTTAATTATCAACTTGGGAGGCAAATGTACTGTTACTTCGCGGAGTAACATTTTATCTAGCAAATCGAAGTTTGAATAAACTAATCAACTACAAAACAAAGCAAAGAAATTTTGTCGAAACTATAGTGAGAAAGCCACTCGGGTGTTGTTTCCTTCTAGTTGCAAGATAGACAGACGAATGATGGTCAAAGTTTGTCGACACATGATTTACACAGCTGAGAATCCTATTCGCGTTTGAGCTCCCTCTTCAGTTACTCAAACTCACCTAGAACGGACTATCTAGTGGAGAGTTTCCACATCCAGCAAAATATAACATCTAGAGCATGCCAAATAGGTTCCCTCTATCGGAATATTATCCAATATAACATTGTAGCCCGATTTCACGCTCTATCCATTGACCGACAATGAAGAATTTGGTAAGTTCTCTAATCATTGACCTAATTGGATATTCTCTATCTTAGGTTAATAGCCATAACTGGAAGGATTTTATCAATACTAAACACACTTCATGAAATACCTCAAATATATGTATAATCAAGAGTCAATCAAACTAGGAAATCATACATTCATCTAATCTAACACATACAACTAGAATTACACAACACCCAAGTGATAGAAAGTTGAGCTCATAGCGAGAGAGAGAAAGAGATAGAGAGAGAGAGAGAGAGAGAGAAATACTCGAAATCAAGAGAAGAAAACATCCTAGAGGAGAGGGTTCTTGCTCTTGCAATTTAATCTTCAAACCTTGGTGATGGAATTGACCTCCAAGGTGATTTAAGCTCCAATTCTCCAACTAGGGTACTCCTTCGTTATTTTCTCTCTCTACCCATCAAATGCACTTTCTCACTCTAGTCTTCTTTCCAAAAAAATCTAATTTATGCTCTTTTATGTAGCCCAAAAGTTCAAAGTTCATGGTTTCCTGGCACGCCAGTGTGATTAACCGCCAAATCGTGACGCCGACTGAATTTACTATAGTATGTGAATCCTCATTTCCTTGTAAATGTCAATGCCAGGCCGTGAGAATTTGCTATGAACTGTATGTTTTAACACTTTCCTCTATTTTGTTCTGTTTTGGTTCCCGTTGATCCGAATCTTATTCATTTTGCCAACTTTCAGCTGCTAGGACATGAAATACACTCGACCATTATTAGATGGAAAAACATCTTTAGTATTTTATAAAAAGTTTTAAGTACACAACCATTTAAGCATTCAAAACGTTTCAAATTTCAAATTGGAACAACTTATCATATAACACGTAGTAAGCATATCAAGGCAAAGCATATCAACCATTCCCACCGCACACTTAAAATGGAAATTATCGTCAATGGACTAAAATATAGTGCGCGGTGCTAAAGTTTGAACGAATTACCTTGATTTTTGTTTAGAATTTGAATTCATCCATAGTAGCTAGTTGCCCATGATTGTTTGGAGAGACTCAAAATGTATAAA